AAGGGCAGCGCCACGGAGCCGGGCGATGGGCCGCCCTCTGGGCACCGAGCAGCCCCCCAGGCCTGACCGCCCGCGAGGACCGGCGGAGGTGGGTGTGGGCAGGGCACAGCCGCGCGCTGGGGGCGCAGAGGGTGATGCGGAGGTGGGAAAGGCTGGGGGAAAGCCGGGATCAGGGGCTGCTATGGTGTGGGGGCTTGGGTGGGGGGGCAGCCCGGGATAGCTGCTGCCCCACCCGTATGTTCTGGGGCAGTCTTTGACCCCGCACAACTCTTGCCACCTCCAGGAGCCCCGCCTGGATGTCTAGCGGATGCCTCGGTGCCTCCCAGTGGACACGGTGGGGACCATGGCTTCGCTGACACCCCTTTCCCCCTATCTCAGCCCCACGGTCCTCCTGCTGGTCAGCTGTGACCTGGGCTTTGTGCGAGCAGGTGAGTAAAGGGGGAGGAAGTGGGGATTAACCAGAGTTAGCCTGTGAGTGGAACCTGTTAACCTGTTAACACACTGGCACCTGCAGACCGGCCTCCTTCTCCCGTGAATGTGACAGTCACTCACCTCAGAGCCAACTCGGCCACTGTGTCCTGGGACGTCCCAGAAGGCAACATCGTCATTGGCTACTCCATTTCCCAGCAAGTATGAATCATTCTGCTCCCCCAACCTGTGTCCTTGGATCTCTGTTCCTTGGGTTACCTCCTCCTACCCCTCAAAGTCTCCTCCCAGCGGTGGAGAATCTGGGGAGCTGCCGCTTCTTGGTTCAAACTGCCCTTTTCATCCCACTTGGAGAGCTTGGACCTGTCAAGCATGAATGGCTTGAACCCTGTGGGCTGGCCAGGAGTGAGGCCACTCTCTCATCTCTTCTGCAGAGACAGAATGGCCCTGGGCAACGTGTGATCCGGGAGGTGAACACCACCACCCGGGCCTGTGCCCTCTGGGGCCTGGCAGAAGACAGCGACTACACTGTGCAGGTCAGGAGCATTGGCCTTCGTGGAGAGAGTCCTCCAGGGCCCCGGGTGCACTTCCGAACTCTCAAGGGTTCCGACCGGCTACCCTCAAACAATTCAAGCCCAGGTGAGGATCTCAGCTAGTCCCTGTTCTCTAAAGCTTTGGATACTCTGGGTTTTATGTGGCCTTTACTTATCCTCTTGTTTACTTCCCCAAAGCAGGCAACAGTCTAGCTTAGATGAATAGAAGGATGATTTAATTCATTGTACTGCCAGAAGGAAAGGAAGGAAAACAGGTTGGCAGGGAACTGGGTATAGACAGACTGATAATGAATCGCTTGGGGGAAGGGTTTTTAAGCTTCCTTTCCCCCAGCCTGGGTTCAGCAGCTGCAGGCTGTGCGAGGGAGGACCTGACCTGCAGCCCTCCTCTTTTTGATCTCCAGCCATCTGTCCACCAACAGCTCCACCAACAGCTCCCAGGCTACAAGGGGGACCCAGGGATGGGTATACTCAGACTCTCACCCCCTGCATCTCTGTCCTTCGCTGTGCACAGTCACAGCTCTCTAACTGCTCCCCATAACCCAGGGGCCTCTCCTCCTCAGGGGACATCACAGTGGAGGGTCTGGATGGAGAACGACCCCTGCAGACGGGGGAAGTGGTCATCATCGTGGCCGTGTTGCTCATGTGGGCTGGTGAGCGAGCAGCTGGAGGGGGCCTGGGGATTGAGGGAATGGGGCTCAGTGATGGTGGGAGGTGGGGAAGGTTGCTGGGAGAAAAGGCGACAAGAGAAATGGCGTGGGGTGATGGCTGATTGAGGGAAATGATCAGGAGGTCTGAAGAGGTGGTGTGAAGGCTGATGGGAACCCAGAGAGGATGATGGAGACGGAGTGGTTATGCAGAGGCACCAGAAATTCAAAGACTTTCTTCTTGGACTTTCTAGAAATGGTGTGGCTATCTCACTGCCCTTCGAGGCTGTGAGCAGGGAGGTTGAGCTCAAGGCTCAGATTGTATTGTTATCTTTCAGCTGTAATTGGGCTCTTCTGCCGTCAGTATGACATCATCAAGGACAATGACTCGAACAACAACCCCAAGGAGAAGGGGAAGGGGCCGGAACAGAGTCCTCAGGGAAGGCCAGTGGGGACAAGACAGGTGATGTGGGGTCAGCAAGGGAGGGAGGGGTGATTTTCCCCCAGGGGCAGCCAGGTAAAGGGAGAAAAGCCAAAGGGGGAGGCTGGAAAAGAGGAAAACTGAAGCTCTGAGAGGAAGGAGACTACTGCCTTCTAATGCCTTGGAGACTCAAGTCATTTTCTTTCACAGAAAAAGTCACCATCCATCAACACCATTGACGTCTGAATGAAGAACCAGAACCAGAAGAGCGATGCACTGACACCCTGGAGATAGTTGGGGGGAGGGAGAGCCTAAGATGGTGATCTGACCAAGACTGAAGCACCCAGGCTCCCAGAGAGTAATACCGTCCCACAATCTCAGGCCTATCCTCTTTCCACTGTGAGCAGGGCCACAAGGTAGGTCTGTTCAGTCTGTGCCCCTGGACTTGGGGAGTGGAAGCAGAAGGGATATTGTCTCTCATTCCCCAGGTCCATGAGAGAGTCACCTGTTCAGTCCTCTCCTACTAGGTCCCAAATGGCCCCCATTCCACCTGCATCAGGACTGTCAGTACCCCCAGCTGCCCCCACATCTCGCCTCTAGGTCTCAGAGTGTGATGTTCCTGCTAGTCCTCCCTTGCCCCAGCAAGTAGAAAGGATTGTCTGGGCCTGGAGAAGGACGCTGCACTGTACTACTCCAATGTCTTCCACGGAGCCTCAGGTGCTCCCCTCTCACCTGGCAGCTGCTCCAGCTGCTGGTGACCTCACCCCTTGGACATTTTTCCAATAAAGGTTCTTGGACAAACTGGAGCTGACTGCACGGATACTGTATAGTATGCTGAAGACATTTCCCCCCTGCCTCTCCCTTGACTACAAGGTCCTCTCACAGCACCATCAACCTGATAAGAATGACTCTCGTTTTAAGCTGCGTGCTTTAGTTCTCTAGCCTGGAAATGTCAAGGGGTTGTAGAAAACTAGAGCCCTAGGTCCTTTTGCTTTGGTACTGGATGAGAGGGGAGAGAAAGAGAAGAGAAAAATATAAGCTCTTCCTGCATAGTAGAACTAAGATTGTATCACTTGAGGGAGGCAGTAACATTTTGTCTTCACTGCCCACTTTGGCTACCAGCTCCTCACTTTATTCCTCTGATTACTTTATTTCTCTGATTCCCTCCACCTGGGTTAATTGTCAGGAAAGCTATATCTTGGGACAAATGAAATAGCAGAAGACACTAATGGATCCCTCTGTTCCACTTGCTCCCACTCTTGAGCTCCTGTTCCTCCTTACCCTGTCTCTC